ATAAAGGGATGGGACAGAACAAAGCAGGAGAGGAGCCATCATGAAGAATCCCCTACCTACCACCTGAGTTGGAACAAGAGCTGTACCAGGGGAAAGAATTGTGCCCAAGCCTGGAAGGAGTCCAGTCTGAGGAAAAAACTCACTGAAGCATCTCTGAGGGTGAGATTATCTGTATTCAGTTTGATTAGACTGATTTGTGCATTTTATTTTATTTTGCTTAGTAACTTACTTTGTTCTGTCTGTTACTACTTGGAGCCACTTAAATCCTGTATTTAATAAAATCACTTTTTACTTATTAATTAACTCAGAGTATGTATTAATACCTGGGAGAGCAGACAACTGTGCATATCTCTCTATCAGTGTTATAGAGGGTGAACAATTTATGAATTTACCCTGTATAAGCTTTATACAGGGTAAAAAGGATTTATTTGGGTTTAGACCCCATTGGGAGTTGGGCATCTGAGTGTTAAAGACAAGAACACTTCTGTGAGCTATTTTCAGGTAAACCTGCAGCTTTGGGGCAAGTAATTCAGACCCTGGGTCTGTGTTGGAGCAGACGGGTATGTCTGGCTCAGCAAGACAGGGTGCTGGGGTCCCGAGCTGGCAGGGAAGGCAGGGGTAGAAGTAGTCTTGGCACATCGGGTGGCAGCTCCCAAGAGGGTTTCTGTGATCCAACCCGTCACTGTAACTACATAATAAAAGTATGTAACTTAGAACAACGCTTCCTCATCTCTCGTCCCCTAACGCCCCTACTCTACTTGCACTACATTGATGACATCTTCATCATCTGGACCCCATGGGAAGGAGGCCCTTGAGGAATTCCACCAGGATTTCAACAATTTCCACCGCACCATCAACCTCAGCCTGGACCAGGGCCGCCCAGAGGATTCAGGGGGCCTGGGGCAAAGCAATTTTGGGGGCCCCTTCCATAAAAAAAAGTTGCAATACTAGGGCAAATTGCCCCACTAGCCCCCCCCCCCCGGGGGCAGCCCTGGGAAAAATAAACATTTAAAAACCTTTTGCATCTTGGCACAAACCCAGTTTTGAGAACTTCTTTTCAAGTCACCTTTACAAGGTATCACTGGTTCTCAGCATCAGCTAGTGCTAAAAGGCACTAAAGCTCATTAAAAGAGTTGGACAAATATTTTCTGTCAAAACTTTTTTTGGATCGAAAACTAGGGGTTTTTAAAAAGCAGAAAAAATCACGGACAATGTCTGCTTTCCTTCATAATTTGTTGTGGTTTTTTTTAATTGAAAAGCTGAAATTAGTCTGCCAAAACCTGAACATGGTTCGGGGTTTCAGAAGTGTGTGGCCAAATATTTGCTGCTTGCTGTGTTTGACTGTTTAAAGAAACAATAAAAAAATTCTGCTTAAAAAAAATCCAAAACTTTTGAACCACCTCAGCTTGTGACCAAACACCTGAGCCCATCCAGTCAGATTTTTCCAGGTTTTTGATACTCTGCTGGCTTCCGTGACTCATATCTGTCTCCATAACTTTGGGTTCATTTAGGTTAGAAAATAAGAACATAAGAATGGCCATACTGGGTCAGACCAAAGGTCCATTCAGCCCAGTATCCTGTCTACCGACAGTGGCCAATGCCAAGTGCCCCAGAGGGAGTGAACCTAACAGGTAATGATCAACTGATCTCTCTCCTGCCATCCATCTCCACTGTCTGACAAACAGAGGCTAGGGACACCATTCCTTACCCATCCTGGCTAATAGCCATTAATGGACTTAACCTCCATGAATTTATCTGTTTCCTAGAGATTGGCTCCATGGGGTCCCTCACAAACTGGAGACGATTACTGTGGGTTTGTCTTTAGTATAGCTTATGTACATGCTCCACGAACTGAGCATTTGAGCTTGTTCCAGAATCTGGGATGAGCCTATGTTGTGAAAACTGAAATGCTCAAAATAGCACATGCATGTGAATGGACACAGGGTGCTAAAATTAAATTAACCCAGGGGTTCTCAAACTGGGAGTCATGACCCCCTGAGGGGTCCTGAGGTTATTACTGGGAGTCATGTCAGCCTCCACCTCAAACCCCGCTTTGCCTCCAGCATTTATAATAGTGTTAAATATATAAAAAGTGTTTTTAATTTATAAGGGGGGGGTCTCACTCAGAGGTTTGCTATGTGAAAGGGGTCACCAGTACAAAAGTTTGAGAACCACTGAATTAACCCCTCTGGAGCTTCGGGGAATGCAGGGGAGGGGGGGTGTTTCCCTTGGTAGGGTTGGGAAGGAGGTAGGTGGTGTATGATATTGCTTTTCTCATGTGATCCCTCCCCCATTGCTCTCTTGGCTCTATCACTGTTATTCTAAAGTGGCTAATTTTAAATGAAGCTACCCTCCCCTGCCATGAATCTCCCTATGGCACTGAAATTAAATGTAGACCATAATTTTGCATTTGAGAAGTGAAAGGGATGGTAGCCCTAAGGGAAAAGATAACAGCTTGGCTCATTGTGTTAAATAGCTGTCTGCAAGCAGGTGCCTGGGGCGGCACTCCGTCCATTATTGGGGCAGCACATCCGGGTCTTCGGCGGCGGGTCCTTCACTCCCTCTCTTCCTCTTCGGCGGCAGCTCAATTGGGTTTTTCTTTTTTTTTTTTTTTTCCCCCTTCGCTGCTTGGGGCGGTAAAAAAGCTGGAGCCAGCCCTGCCCACAACACACATACTAATAATTAATAGGGGCCCCCCTTGAGCTGCTTAATCCTTCACAATAGGGCTTCTGTGACTCAATTATGGTATAATTGACAAGTCTAAGGACTTTGACTTACTCGGTTTTGAGTTTCAGTATTTTTGACTAGCTTCCTCTTTTTTTTTTTTTTAATTTCTTCTTTCTGAACTACCCAACCAGTATGGGCCGCTAGAAACCCTTAATTCAGCCCATCTTCAATTCCATTAAGATGAAGTACCTTGAATACAGAGGATCTAATCATCCTGTGCCATGTGCACCAGCATCCTGCATGCATGTGAAGCAAAAGATTGAAGTTAAATATAGTATCCGACATAGACAATGATAACAGATATTAACCATGATCATTATAAAAATGAAATACGTGAGGGCTTCCTAGGGAAGGCTCAAGTTGAACATTATAAAAATGCCAATGTTCCAGCAAAATAGTGTAGCTAACACATTTCTACTTACTTAGGCAATTATTATAAAATATTTGACATAAGTTCTGCAACCTCAACAGAAATAATCAGTCTCTATCTTTCATTTCTATGCTGCATTTCCTGTAATTTATATTTTTAATAACTAACATTTTGACCATTCTTGTAGTTATTTTAAAACATAAAATGATAGTCATAATTTTAAATGGAAGTTAACCTTGTTTATTCTTCCATTTCAAACACCTAAAAAGTCACTTCCAACTACAGTCCTTTGTCTCAATATAGAGCACAAGGGCAAAATCCCAAATTATTAACATTTTTTACAATTTTTCTGTGCTTGGGATTTCAATATATTATTTGAGTAGTAAGTAACTCTCCCTATCAATCAGCTGCATGAAGTTTAGAATAAATCTCATTCATTTTTCTTAGCTAATAAACATATAGTTAGTTTACTGTAGAATTGGCTGCAAACATTGTCTTTGTTGTAAGATCATAGAATCATAGAACTGGAAGGGACCTCGAGAGATCATCTGGTCCAGTCCCCTGCACTCAAGGCAGGACTAAGTATTATCTAGATAATCTGATAGGTGTTTGTCCAACCTGCTCTTAAAAATCCCCAATGATGGAGATTCCACAATCTCCGTAGGCAATTTATTCCCGTGCTTAGCCACTCTGACAGGTTTTTCCTAATGTCCAACCTAAACCGCCCTTGCTGCAATTTAAGCCCGTTGCTTCTTGTCCTATCCTCAAAGGTTAAGAACAATTTTTCTCCCTCCTCCTTGTAACAATCTTTTATGTACTTGACAACTGTTGTCATGTCCCCTCTCAGTCTTCTCTTCTCCAGATCTGGAGTACCAATTGATCTGGGGTAAGTGACTGGTCTCTTGGGACTGGGAGCAACCTGATATGGTGTGATTTTTGGTTTAGTGCCCTTTTATCACAAAGTTCAGTTTGTCTAAGGCTACGTCTTCACTACCCGCCGATCCGGCGGGTAGCAATCGGTTTATCGGGGATCGACTTACCGCGTCTCGAGAGGACGCGGTAAAATCGATCCCTGATCGCTCTGCCGTCGACTCCGGAAATCCACCTCGACAAGAGGCGGCAGCGGAGTCGGCGGCAGCGCGGCAGCGGTCGGCTTTCCCCCGTCCTCACCACCAGGTAAGCCGACCTAAAATACGCAACTTCAGCTACGGTATTCACGTAGCTGAAGTTGCGTATCTTAGGTCGGAACCCCGCTGTAGTGTAGACCTAGCCTGAGTGGCAAGATAGACTGGAGAGTCTGTGGGGACGGACTGTCACTTCATGGTAAGACTGGTATAATGATCCAGGAGTTCACATTTGTTACTGGCTTGGTGAAATCTAATTATAGAATACACCACCAGTTTGGGGTATCTGCCCTGTTTCCTGACAGTCTGTCCTGAGGTAGGCACTCACATTTATGAGCCACTCCAGACAGTATGACATCCTCCACCTGTCAAGGTAGAGGAGATGACATGGTCCACAATGTCAATTTTTAAGTATAATTTTATGATACTCAAATGTTATGAATCAGGAATTTTGTAGCATATCATAACAGATATCTAAAGCAAGAAAATATTTTTTCCAAAAGAAAAATCAAAGTAAAATAAATAAGAGCTCAAAATAAACTTCATACTCTATCTGTGCACATGAATATTATCATTTTGCTTGTGTTATTATGCATAAGCTACTTTTGCCAAGGACTACCTACTTTGCTCTGCTATTAATATCACTAAAACTTGTTGTGATGCAAGAACTCCCACCCATTTCTGAGAACAGTGAAGGCAGTTTATCTGTTAACACACAGGCTGCTGGCTGCCTTTATAAAAAGTTCTTCCAGTTTTACATACTTCCTCATTGAGCTAGTTTCACTGCAAAGATGAAGAAGCTCATTTACTTAGTCTTGTTTAAGACAGCTCTGCTTACTTTTACAAATGTTTCTGCACTTGCAGATGAACATACCGAAGGTGTTAAAGAAGGAAAAGCTATTGATGCTTGTCCTATAAAGCTCAAAATCAATGGGAAATGTGAAGGAGAGGAATGTCCATACCAGATAAACCTGCCTCCGATGACCATCCAGTTACCTAAGCAGTTCAGACTGATTGAGAATACTCTCAAAGAAGTACAAAATCTTAAAGATGAAGTAAACAAATTGAAGAAATCTTGCCAAGATTGCAAGTTGCAGGCAGACGACAACCAAGAAAAAGACAGTACTGAATTCCTGGCACCTAATAGAGAAGTCCCAACAGAGAACAGTAAGATACAAGATAAAAGAATAAAGGAATTACAGAGCAAAGTTAATAAACTGTCAGCCAGTTTGAAGAATGCAAAGAATCAGATCCACTCACTGCAGGGTAATGTGGAGAAAGGAAGCCTCATAAACATGGACAATGTACAAAGTTACGTCGACAGCAAAGTAGCAAATCTGACATCTTTTTTGGAAATTTTGGATGACAGATGTTCTTCTGAGTGTCCAGTCATACAATCAAGTTCTGGTATGTAAAGCTATATTTATAAATTTTCTGTAGAATTATTTAATAGAACAATTTAAACATATTTAACTACAAATACCTTTGCTTTCATCTTCACAAATTAAAAAGTATTATAAAATTCACTTACTGTGGCCAGGAAGGACTTGCTGGAAGATACTAAGTGCTTTCAACTCCCATGGGAGTTGCAGGTACTCAGTACTTCTCAGGATTTGGCTCTAATATAGTACTTAAAATGTAGTCCTCCAAAGGGAACATTTATTTTAATATTTGTTCAGCAGATATGCATACTGTATTTACTCATTCGCATACTGCTGTCATAGCAATTCAGAGCCCAAACATTAAGATGGAAATGAAATTCCTTTATATATTTAAATTTTATTTTACAGTGTATTCAAAAGGAAAATATCCACTTTAATTCTGCATTACACTGAAAACTGAACAACTATTTTTGGCTTGAATGTATTTTCACATTTTTGAGGGATTAGGGGAAGGGAATGAGAAAGATCTGGCCCTAAAAGATTTCAATAGTTTTACTATCTGACTTTGATAATGAAAGGCTGAAAAAAGAAACATCTCAAAATATCCTGGAATTGTTTTTAAATGGTCTGGAAAGTGTTAGCTAACAACAAAGGAATCTAGTGGAAGGTGTAAGTTGTATAGATGGATAACAAAATTATTATTTACCATAGCTACACGTACATGTAAGGCTTGGCTAAAAATCTAATCAGTATTAATGCTTCTCAAATGGAAGGCACACACAGCACTATTTTAGCAATAGTGGAATATTGGCAAGAATCTAATATATAAACAATGTAAAATGAGACACTAATATGGGAGTTTGGGGATTTATTTCCTTTTAAATACCATGTTGTGAGGGACTTTTGTTACTTTTTAAAAAACCCTGTTATTATTAAAAGAAAAAATAAATGGAATTGGTAGATTATATCATGTTAATCTTTACTTTTGCCAAATTAATATGATTAACATTTTAATTTTTACGTTGTCTGTATGTAACTAAAATTTTGATATTACACTGAAGGATCTTTAGAAGTAAGAGGCATTCACAAAAAGTTGCCAGTGTATTCTGCCATCCAGATACCACACAATAATAAAAGGGTTCTCTAGTGATTAAAACAATGACAGGTCACTGCACTAAATTTCTGAGCATCAAACTGCTTGCCAATCCTCCAAGCTAAAAAAAGTATGATGTATAAAATTAGACAGCTCTTTTGTCTACCAGAAGTCATACCTGCAGGACCTGCCCTCCTTCACTCCCATCTACAATACTAGTCTATTTAAAGAATATCAGAGAAAACTGCAGATAGTACAATGAATGCACTGCTATGTTTTGAAATTCTGAAAAACATGATCAGCAAAAACACAAACAGGACACATGAACAACTTTGTTATAGCAATGTCTTTATTAGATACCAGTAATCAAATGTCAAGCTTCAGGTATAAGATAGAGGTCAGGAACGAATTTTTCTTACCCATCATGTACAACTCTCCATGGTTGGGTAGGTGCATTCTAAATTCTCCTTGCCACCACCACCTTTTTCTGAAATATCAGTTTTTGGTCACTAGCGCAAGCCAGTCTAGTCTTTATAGATCTATATTCTTGTGTTACTATAACACATGCAGAAAAGGTAACTGATGCTAAGTAATGTTCAACCTACAGTCTAAATCTAGGCAGGTAAAAATACTACTACAGTAACTCCTCGCTTAACGTTGTAGTTATGTTCCTGAAAAATGCTACTTTAAGCGAAACAATGTTAAGCAAATCCAATTTCCCCATAAGAATTAATGTAAATAGAAAAGGTTAGGTTCCAGGGGAAAAAAATTTTTCACCAGACAAAAGACTATTTCTCTCATATATATATATATATATAATATACACACACACACACAATATAAAGTTTTTTTTAAACAAACAATTTAATACTGTACACAGCAATGATGATTGTGAAGCTTGGTTGAGGTGGTGAAGTCAGAGGGTGCAAGAGGATGGGATATTTCCCAAGGAATGCCTTACTGCTAAATGATGAACTAGCACTTGGCTGAGCCCTCAAGGGTTAACACATTGTTGTTAACATAACCTCACACTCTACAAGGCAGCACGAATGGAGGGAGGGGAGACAGCATGGCAGAGAGAAACAGAGACACACTCTGTGTGTGTGAGTGTGAGTGAGAGAGAGAGAGAGACGTGCATTGCCCCTTTAAGTATGCTGACCCCACTCTAAGTACATTGCCTTTTTAAGTAGATCAGCAAGTTGAGACAGCATCTGCTTCCAGCAAGCTCCCTCCGTTCTGAGCCCTGAATGGGGGGGGGGGAAGAAAGGGAGACACCCTGACATTAGCACCCCTCTTCCCCCCCCCCCTGCACTGCAAGCAGGAGGCTCCCGGGAGCAGCTCCAAGGCAGAGGGCAGGAGCAGCACATGGCAGTGCGGGGAAGGACAGGGCTGTGCTGCTGCACAGGGAACTTAGGGGAGCGGGGAGCTGATGGGGTGCTGCTGGTCCACCCTGGCTCCAAACCCCCACCAGCTAGCTCCAACAGGCTGCTCTTTCTGCAAGCAGTGGACAAAGCAGGCGCAACTTTAAATGAGCATGTTCTATAATTGATCAGCAACGTAATGAACAATGTTAACCGGGATGACTAAGTGAGGAGTTACTGTACATAGCATTTATATATAACAGTCCAACAGTGATAGTGAAAATGTAATGGTAATACGTGCATTATGAAACTAGAAAGGATGACAATAACTAGTTTTCGCTCATAGGAATGAATCCTGACTTCAGTGAAGCCAATGGCAAAACTATTATTGACTTAAATAGGAGTAGGGTTGGATCCATAGAAGGTGTCTAATTGAGACAGGTGCTCTTTGTTCACATCTATTCTGAAACTTAGGCCACTTAACATCTTATCCAAAGTCCACTGAAATAAATGGGAGTCTTCCCATTGGCTTCAATAGGCTTTGGATGAGGCCCTAGTTAAGGGCCTACATATGGATTTAGACGCTTAACTTTAGGTATCCAAGTTTGAAATTGTTGTCTCTAGTCTCTGGATGTTAACAAGAAAGTTTTATCTATCAGAAATCTTCTTCCACGACTCCAATTTATATGTGGATGAAAGTAAAACAAAGAAAACCATTATTTATTATTATTTTCATGAGTTAGGGTTGACCACAAAACTCAAGAGTGGAGGAGAATAAATAAGTCACTTATGTAATCTAAGAATATCCTTGAGTAACATATTTTGCATCCCTATTCTATGTAATTAACTCCCATGTTAAATTCTCTCTCATATACAAAATATGTGCATTCCATGGCAGCATTAGTATCAACCACAAAGTTAAGGTTACACTGAGATCTGAGCATAATGAAAGAATAAGATTTCTCTTTCACACTTTAAAGATTGAACTTAGTCTCCTTATTTGACAAAATAACTCTTCAAAATAACCTATTGAGTATTGTGTCCAGTTCTAGGCGCCACCGTTTCAGGAAAGATGTGGACAAATTAGAGAAAGTCCAGGGTAGAGCAACAAAAATGATTAAAGGTGTAGAAAATATGACTTATGAGGAAAAATTGGGTTTGTTTAGTCTGGAGAAGAGAAGACTGAGACATGATCATTTTCAAGTACATCAAAGATTGTTACAAGGAGGAGGATGAAAAAATTATTCTCTTTAACCTCTGAGGATAGGACAAGAAGCAATGGGCTTAAACTGCAGCAAGGAAGATTTAGGTTGGACATTAGGAAAGACTTCCTAACTGTCAGGGTGGTTAAGTACTGGAACAAATTGCCTAGGGAGGTTGTGGAATCTCTGTCATCACAGGTTTAAGAACACGTTAGATGAACCCATGAGGAAAGGTCTAGTTATCATTTAGTCCTACCTTGAATGCAGGGGACTGGACTAGATGACCCTTCCAGTCTTACGGTTCTATGATTTTATAGGACAATTTATTCTTTATGTAATTTCTTAAAATAAATATTTACTAACTTTTGCAGAGAAAGTAATTTTAAAATGCTCCCTTTCTGAAGTTTTCCCTCACATTTCTTCATGTCCCTCTAGCTAAATAACCCAGGAATCCTGACTCCCAGTCCCCTACTGTAGCCTGAGAACAGCACTTCCTCTTAACAAGCAGTTCTTATTAAGATTTGTATATTTCCAGTGGTGATATACAATTAAAACATGTAATCAAATACACCCATGCATTTAAATTATTTTGTAGTAGGAATAAACACTCAAAATAGTTTCCAACACTTAAAACACTTCCTCTGAAAGACATCAATGAAATATTGTTGTGTTAATGAACATATTGTGTTGTGGAACATGAAGTTCTAGGAATGTGTCATTTTCAGCATATCCTGTGAAAACACTTGAGCACAGCATCAGTACTAGTTAAGTGGTTATAGATGGATTTATAATCTTCAGGAAACACCTGGAAAATATGTTTTGTATAAAATAAATTGATAGGAAGATGAGTTACGTAAATGAATCAGCATACTGATATTTCTTTATTATGAAGCCAGCAATTCTACATGCACAGGAAAGCACTGTCACTTTTCTAGCTATATCTTTCTAGGAATCATAGAATCGGCATAAGACAACATTACTAGTTTCCTCCTGTTTCCTAAAGTATTGTAAATAACTGACCATTGACATACAAAAAATTCCCATTGTCTAGACTAACAGCTAATAATAAAGAGCCATCTTTAAGTCATCCTGATATGAAATAAACTTCTCATATGACATACTATAGCATGAAAGGTACTGAATTATAGACATTAATATGACAAAGTACAATGAATCCATTCCACAAGAGGAGCAAATTCTATAATACATAAGAGAAAATTAAGGTATAGTTGAATACATGAGTTAAAAAGCATTTGAAATAATAGAATGGAAATAGTAGGCCAAATTCACCACTGAAATATGCCAGCATTAGCTCACGGAAAAGAGTTCCAATGATGGAAAGCATACAGAGGGGGCCAGATTTTGGCTGCAAATAGCAAACAACTTCACTGGGTGAAAAGGGAAGAGGGGGAAGAGGCCAGCCCAGTGAAAAGTGGGCAATTTTGACCAAAAATGCAGTGTCGCCAGGGTGGCTGTGTAGCCATCAGATGCATCAGGCTCCTGGTGGTGGACACCTATGGAGTAGCTCTGATGCGAATAAAAGATGCCCATACTTACTAGAACTCTGACTGCAGAAACACTTCTTGACCTCTGGAGAGATAAGTCACCCCACAAGATGCAACCCTCAGGGTATGTGTTTTGCACCTCCTTGAACCAGCTTTGTGGAATTTAACTCATTATTCTTTATGGATATACATGCAAGAAATAAGCAGCAACACAATTTTATGGAGCTATATAGCATTTTTTAGATGAACATTAATCATTTGTATTGTTTTTGCATTTATTAATAAATAAGAAAAATAGGAGAGAACACCTCCAGGCAAGATACTGCTAAAAGTGCTGAAGAGTATACACTGTGGGTTTAAAATGTAATTTTTTACATTAACATAGTCTGGAATGCTTGATGAGGTTTACTAGATATTAAAAAAAATTAAATAAGATTGTCCATACTAATACTATCTATTTTCCCCCCAGCTATACAACTAATGCAGAGAGATTGTGCTGATTATTACACAGCAGGTATGAGGCATAATGGAATCTACAGAGTTATTCCAGATCCAAAAAATAGCAGCTTTGAGGTTTACTGTGACATGGAATCAATGGGAGGTGGCTGGACAGTGCTACAGATGCGTCAAGATGGTAGCATTAACTTCAACAGAACATGGAATGACTACAAAAATGGCTTTGGAAATCTCAGCGGGGAGTTTTGGCTGGGGAATGATAAAATTCATCTCCTGACCAAAAGCAAGGATATGCAGCTGAGAATTGAGCTTGAAGATTTCAATGGTATTCGAGAGTATGCTAAATATGAACAGTTCTATGTAGCCAATGAATATCTCAAGTACCGTCTAAGTGTCACTGGCTATAGTGGTACAGCTGGAGATGCCCTGCACTTCAGTAAACATTACAACCATGATCAAAAATTCTTCACTACCCCGGACAAAGACAATGATAAGTATCTATCAGGAAATTGTGGGGCTTACTACAGCTCTGGTTGGTGGTTTGATAAATGTTTGTCTGCCAACCTAAATGGCAAATACTATCACCAAAAATACAAAGGTGTTCGCAATGGGATTTTCTGGGGCACCTGGCATGATGTTTCTCATGGTCTTCCAAATGGTTATAGGCAAGCTTTTAAACAGGTAAAAATGATGATCAGACCCAAAGTCTTTGTGCCATAAATCAGCACCCTCTGCTGTAACCAGTTTGTATTAGGTCATACTAAAATCATCATGCTTACTCAGTATCATATTCAAAATACAAATATTGGAGTATTTTAATATTCAGTCCTAATATAATCCTTCCAAGATGAAAGAAAGTGTCTCAACATAAAATGTTTGATTCCTCCCTCACGCCTTATAAAGACAGTTTTAATGGTTCAGAGTAGCTGTTGCTAAAACTTCAGCATTGCTAAATTCTGAATTTGAAGGCATTGATTTTAATGTTTCAGTTGTACTTTTACTATCTGCAGCATACCAGGTTTCTACAATCTACAACTTTTTAAGGCTTCTACAAAGGTAGCTGAATGAAAATACATATTTTTGCCTGAAAATATCTCAAACATTTCTGATTACATATAACCACTTTAGATACCGACTTTCATCCTCTTATATGGATCTCATTATATCATCTGTGTCTTCATAAACATTAAAGATAGATCATCCCAACACCACCATGAACTAAGAAAGTGGTATCCCATTTTAAAATGACTGAGGCAGAGATCACCTAATTTCCTCAAAGTCACAAAGCAACATTTGACACAGAGTCAGGAACTGAAAACAGATTTTCTGAGTCTCAGTCCAGCCCCTTGACCAAGAGACCATCCAACCAAGTATAGTGGCAGAGTTGAACAAAAGCAAATGGAAAGGGTGTGTAGTCTAAGTATGGAGTGAAATAGCACCTCCACAGCATGTTTTCCCCCAAGCTGTTTGCTTCAAAACCATGCTTTTTGCTTCTTTGATGAAGGAACGTCAGCTACACAGCTTGTCAGGGAGCTATGCTAGCAGGGCTGGAGCAGGAAGCATCAGAAAGGATTGAGTTCTTGTACTACTGCCTCCAGATCTACAGAGAGAGTGTCTGGTTCCCTTAGAGCCTAAAACCCTGTGGTTTCACACCCAAATCTCCCTTCCTCTGCATCCTCTATTCAAGGTGAACTTTATTAGGTTGCAGGGATTCAACTTTAATTTTTTTAACTTGTCAGAACTTATGTATCATCAGGAAAAAGATTATGTAGAAAAACACACATATATAAAATCAAAGTAGGGTTTTCCCCCCAAATTTGATGTGTTTGTCTTTTTTCCCTTAAAATCAAAGAAAAACTAACATCCAGTGAATGACTTTTTTACAATGAACAGAAGGGAAACCGAGATGTTCTTGTTGTTGTTGTTCTGAAGTGTAAGAAATAAAATGTAACAGACGTTCAGACATTTCATGAATTACCAACCAAAGAGACATTGCAGATCATAATGAATACTGTACATAGTGAATTTAAATTTTATAAGATTAAGGCCTTAGACCAGGTTTGCCAGAATAGCTATACTGACAAACCCTCCTTGTGCAGACACAGGTTATACTGGCTCTCAGAATGAAATAAGTTATAGCGGGACAAAGACTTTTTGCTGGTATAACTGCATCTACAGTAGGGCTTTTCCTGGCATAGCTATATCAGTCATGGGTATGATTTTTTCCACACCTAACCGACACAACTATTCCAGCAAAATTTTTAAGTGTAGTCTGGTCCAATACTTACAAACATGACATTTACTACTTTTCGATATACCAAATTGAAGTGTGCATTAGTGATTTATGTACAATGATCTATGGTGACAATGACCAAATTATAAGATATTAATATATTTTAAAGGAATTATAAATATTTTGAAGGATATTTTGATGTGAAATGTCATTTGCTTTATTATGTTTTCATTTTAAAAGATGGATAGAAGATTAATACTATCAGATGTATACTCTTTGCTCGAGAACACATTTTGAAGTTCCTTTTTATCCTGAAATAGAATGTAATTGTTTAAACAAAAAAAAGTTTTTGATGCACTGGCTAGAAGAGCGATTTTTAGTAGAATATTATTATATTTAGTCATTTGGTATAAAGTGCACTAATTGTTCCTAAACAATAATAAGTTTCCAAAGAAATTTCTTTTTCACCTAGCTAATTTGTTACAAGTGAAACTGACCTTTGTTTCTTGTTTAAAGATCTTTTTTTTAAATATAGACATTTTAAAATCAGAATACACAGCTGTAATTTATATTATTTACACGTTAAAGGGAAAAAAAATCAGTCTAATGTTGATATTTTCAAAGTTGGATACTCCCTTTCTACTATTGGACTGGATTCTCCAATTATCCAGATTAGTTTTATACAAGTGTAACTTCATTAATTTCAATGGCGTTACTCTCAATTTACACTGGTGTGAATAAAGTCTAATTCACACCCATTATGTCCATATGGCAGTTATAGTACTTGTTTTAAAGGTTCCTTGATCTGAATCCTCAAAAACAGTATCTCACCAATTATTCCTTTGATGTTCTATAACAATTCAATCACTGATGAAACAGACTACAGTATGTGAACTCAGAATGGCTAACTTTTGACAAAAGGGCTATGGAATTTTACACAGCTGACTATGGGTACCTTCCAGCTATAGAGGTGCAGTCCATGGACACTACAGGTGAGCACACAATACCAGTGGCTGAATTCTCAGACATCAATGACTGGTTACTCATCTACTGCTACAGAACAATTGGATCCCAGACCCTGTAGTTTTCACAGGCTGCATCTCCATATTAAAGATAAGGCAGCTGTAAACTGATCTATTTTTAAATTATGTGAGACTTTTGGGCTCATGTACAGCTGTCAATATGATCCTTGACGGGACAAAGTTTAGCATCCCTGAACTAAAGCATTTTAAAAAAAAACCCACCTTATACAACCTAAACACTCTCTCTCTATACATGGGCTTAATAATGCAAAGTATGTCTTTCAATTATAAAAAACACATGTGATAATAAAATTTTTAATCTAATAAATGCACTTGTCTTTTTGATCTGGATACAGTTACATGTTGGATTCTTAGTAATGAGGATTATTAGTATCAGGTTTTCAAGCAAAGGACCTATGGGACACTTTTTCCACAGAATACGAAACAAAACTCATCTGTTCAAAATGATCAGCCAAGCATGCTATAATTTCCTGGCATTCCATGGGGTTGTTTAAACAAAGAAAACTACCAAGAAGGAAAAACAAAGACTATCTTTAGAACTGAAAGCCATGTTAAACAGCACTGATTTGCCATTTTTCATGCAAGTAACAGTAGGGATAACTCTATTCATCTCAGTTAAAATGCCATGTTCAATGGTCTTTTGACAGACACAGGGGTCTCAAAACTTCACGTAGCAGATCGAGCACTCACTGTCGCAGCGCCTCCTGCCAGTGATCCGTGAATTAGTTCTTTTCCAGCCTTGGAGCGCCTCCTGCTGGACAGTGTCTCACCTGCTTCAGGCCCCCTGTCCCTCCCGGACCCCGGTGCCCTTTATTTTGTAGTTCTGCCCTAAGGCAGTCCCCACTCTCTGGGTCTCCCCTCCCAGGGGAACCCCCAACCCTCTATACCCACCTTGTGTCAGTGGCTACTGCCAGTCATCATCTAGCCCCCATTCTCTGGGGCAGACTGCAGTCTGTAATGGCTACTCATCACTGGCAAGGGGGTAGGACCAGCTGCCTTTCCCTGCAGCCCCAGTACCTCCTTAGGCCTTCCTGCAAGGCCTCAGCCCGGGTGATAGCCAAGCCTAAGCTCCCCATCTCAGCCTGCCCCTTCCCCAGAACTGTTCCGTCAAAGGGACCCTGTCTCCCCCAGGCAGCTAGGTCTTCCTCACTCCAGGGCTGGAATGAGACTGACCTAGCTCCTCCATTAGCCCTTTTATCAGAGCCTGCTGTAGCCTGATTAGGTGTGGCTCCAGCTGTGGCCACTTCCCCAATCAGCATACCTTTTCTCCCAGGAGCGGGGTAACTGCCCTGCTAAACTTCAGAAAAGACCTACTTAAGATGTTGAGTTAAAAATATTTCTTTCTCTAAGAAGTTTTTCATGCAAGTATCAGACCACAACTATCTTTAAATTCATCTGACATTTTCAAAGGAAGTTAAGATGGGATAAGATGAGCCCACACCTGGAACACCGTGTTTATAATTTAACTACTACAGTACATTATTATTTTTTATTAAAAAAGGGGGTATTCTGCCAAAAAAAAATATTAAAAAACTTACCTGACATAGAAATGACAGAAAAGGTTAAAAAAAAAAGAAAGAAAGCAAAGTATTACCTAAAACTTTAAACTTTCTCAGTGTAATAAAGATCCAAATATTGACTTGCCAAAGAAGTATACATTCACAACTGTGTTTTGGCTTCAATTCTTCAGGGGTTAAAAAGATGAATATCACACTTCATATAAGACTAACGAAATTGAGATAGTTTGCAAAGAAACACAGCTAAGCGGTATATTATACTCAAATATGAAATTGTTGAGCTACTAACTGGGGTATGTAACCTATCATTTAAATCAGCTTTATACCACATGACTGGAGGATAGCTAATGTGATGCCAATTTTTAAAAAAGACTCCAGAGGTGATCCTGGCAATTACAGGCCGGAAAGCCTAACTTCAGTACTGGGCAAACTGTTTGAAAGTATAATAAAGAACAGAATTATCAGACACATAGATGTACATGATTTGTTGGGGGAAGAGTCAAGGGAAATCATGCCTCACCAATCAACTAGAATTCTTTGAGGGGGTCAACAAGCATGTGGACAAGGGGGATCCAGTGGATATAGTGTATTTAGATTTTCAGAAAGCCTTTGACAAGGTCCCTCACCAAAGGCTCTTATGCAAAGTAAGCTGTCATGGGATAAGAGGGAAGGTCCTCTCATGGATCGGTAACTGATTAAAAGATAGGGTAGGAATAAATGGTCAGTTTCAGAATGGAGAGGGGTAAATAGTGGTGTCCCCCAGGAGTCTGTACTATTCAGCATATTCATAAATGATCTGGAAAAAGGGGTAAACAGTGAGGTGGCAAAATTTGCAGGTGATACAAAACTACTCAAGATAGTTAAGTCCAAATCAGACTACGAAGAGTTACAAAGTCATCTCACAAAACTGGGTGAATGGGCTACAAAATGACAGATGAAATTCAACGTTGATATATGTGCAAGTAGAGTCTGGATGAGCTCTCCCCTGACATCTAGTGGTGAGCTATGGAAAAAGACTTCAGAAGCTGATCTCGTTTGCATGGATACACCCACCCTGCCTATGTGCTCAGCATGATGGGATTGCTTGCCCAAATGATCATTTGTGGCAGGTGTTGGATCCCCAGTCTCCTTGTTATTTGAGCAGGAGTAATAAAGGGTTGTTATCCTTGTTGTGTGAACTGAGGGCAGCAAAACTGTATCTGGCATACCCCAATAGAGGGACTCACCCTCAACTGAACAGCACTCACTAGGGAGGGGACATGGGTTCCAAAGCCCAGTGAGTGAGAGAGAGTGGGAACAGGTAATTTGTATTTAGTAGTGTAGGCCCTGTTTAAGGGTCCTAGACACCATTTGACCTTTCTTCTCTCTACGGTATAATAAAAGAGCTAACTTAGACTCAATTGAGAGTCTTGTTACATGCAGCAGAGCTGAAATCACTGATACCTAGGTCTAAGTATTAGACTTATTTTGGGACAGTGTCTCTATTGCAAGAGACTGCCCAGTGTGCACCAACAGTGTGGCTCCCCCACTAACAGCTGAAATCACTGAGAGCTATGTTAAGTGTGAGGGGTTGGGCCCTGAAGACATCTTGGCAAGTGGGCAGCTGGTGGAGAGGTGTGGCAAGTGGCTAGCAGGGAGGCTGGCGGAGAGGTGTGACCAGCAGGGTGGCTGGTGGAGGGGTGTGGCAAGCATCCGTTGGGATGATGAGTGAGTGCTTGAGCAGTGCAGCGTGTGAGGTGCCTCCTTACCTACCCCCCACCCCCGGCCTTCCACACAGGGTGTGAGGTGAAATCTGCAGATGAACCTCTGATCTCTGGGGCTGCACTGGCCAAGGACAGCAACTGTGAGTGGGATACGGAGAAGGGACGGGCATGTTAAAGGGACTTTTGGGTTGCTGGACTTAAGACCCGAGGGGAAAAGGACACTGCCCAACTTACTTGGGGGTGGGTTTTTTGATCATGGTTTGTGTTTATGAACCCTAGTTGTGGTGTTTTCCCAAATTAATGCTGAGTTAATTCCCTCCTTTTATTAAAAGTTTTTGCTACACTCAGACTCTGTGCTTGCAAGAGGGGACGTATTGCCTCTTAGAGGCGCCAGGGGTTGCTGTGTAATTGTCCCAGGTCACTGGGTAGGGGCTTGAACTGGTTTTGTGTTGTATTGTTGAAAAGGATCCCCTAGATACTGAACCCGGCCCTTGTTGCTGCTGGCTCCACCTGGCAGAAGGGTTACAAATGCGAAGTAATGCACATTGGAAAACATAATTCCAACCATACATATAAAATGATGGGGTCTAAATTAGCTGTTACCACTCAAGAGAGATCTTGGAGTCATTGTGCATAGTTCTCTGAAAACATTCACTCAATGTGCAGCAGCAGTCAAAAAAGCTAACAGAATGTTGGGAATCATTAAGAAAGGGATAGATAATAAGACAGAAAATATATTGCCTTTATATAAATATGTGGTATACCCACATCTTGAATACTGTGTGAAGATGTGGTTGCCCCATCTCAAAAAAGATATATTGGAATTGGAAAAGGTTCAGAAAAGGGCAACAAAAAATGATTAGGGGTATGGAACAGCTTCCATACATGGAGAGATTAATAAGACTAGGACTTTTCAGCTTGAAAAAGACATGACTGAGGGGGGATATGATAGAGGTCTATAAAATCATGACTGGTGTGGAGAAAGTAAATAAGAAAGAATAAATAACACTTTCTTATAACACAAGAACTAGGGGTTACCAAATGAAATTAATAGGCAGCAGGTTTAAAACAAACATAAGGAAGTATTTTTTCACAAAACACACAGTCAACCTGTGGAACTCTTTGCCAGAGGATGTTGTGAAGGCCAAGACTATAACAGGGTTCAAAAAATAACTAGCTAAGTTCATGGAGGATAGGTCCATCAATGGCTATTAGCTAGAAGGAGCAGGGATAGTGTCCCCAGCCTCTGTTTGCCAGAAGCTGGGAATGGGCAACAGGGGATGGAACTCTTGATGATTACGTGTTCTTTTCATTCCCCCTGAAGTACCTGGCATTGGCCACTGTCCGAAGACAGGATATTGGGCTAAATGGACCTTTGGTCTGACCCAGTATGGCTGTTCTTATGTTCTTATATTCATATACAATCCCTGGAATGCGCAAAGAATTCCCCTTGCTGCAATGATGTGTTCCAGTCAGATGGAAGTTTTAGGCAAAGTGTATCACTAATGTAAGTGGGCACAACTCCCTCAACTTTAACTACTTCTGCCAGAGGTGAATTTGGCCACAATCTTCAATATTAAATCTCACAGAAAACTGTTTTAAGACAATAGGTCAGATTCTACTTCCCTTACTCAAGTCCTCACATCAGATATATATGACATATGTCAAGGTCAGATGGATTAATAGTTTTAGTACAAAATTGTAAATCACAAATTCTGATACAGCAAACTGTCACAGCTCCCCTTATTTAGATGGGAGAAGGGAGGGATAGGCATCTGGACTTTAGAGAAGGCAGAGAGCATGTGAGGCCTCCAAACCTCATGCATCTCAGGAATCTGCAAAATCAAAGGAAACTCCAATCATAGGGAAGTTATGCACCTCCATGTCACTCCCACTCCTAGCTTCATGGCTTCTCTAGGAGCTGTGCTGCCACTAGCTGACCCCACCAAACTTGCACCGCACTTTACATCTGTGTGAAGGTGATAGTGTAGACCACAAATTAAGGTTGCTTCTAAAAGTATTAATATAGCTCTCTGAAAATCCAAGAGAAATA